AAAAAAATAAAATAAAATGGGGAAAAAAAAGTAATAGAGTCCTTGAGTGAGCAATATAGGAAAGAAATAGAATACATGAAGCAGATTCAAAGTGATATATAGGTTATTAAAATCTCAGTCACAGCTGGCAAAACCATTTGAATGAAAGTGAAAGTAGACTTTCAGAACTTGAAGACACCATTGCAGCTAGTGAAAAGGTAGGAAAAGATCTCTTAAAAACAACTAGGATGCAGGAGAAAATGATTCAACATCTGCAAGATGATGCAAAGATAAACAACGTAAGACTAATAGGCATCAATGAGAAAGGAGTCAATACAAATGGTATAAAAGAATATGGATAGAAGTAATAGCAGAAAACTTCCCAAACATGGGCAAACAATCTAATATTCAGGTAACCAAAGCATATAGAACTCCAAATAACATCAACCCAATTTAAACCATACCCATACATATAATAGTCAAGACCCCAGAAATTCAGCACAGGAAGAGTATACTAAAAGCTGCTAGAGAAAAGAAATAGATCACTTTCAAAGGTGAACCCATCAGAATAATGGCAGATTTCTCTTCATAAACCATCAAGTCAAGAAGAGCATGGAGCAAAGTACTTCAAGTCTTGCAAGAAAGCAAATTCCAACCCAGACTACTATACCCTGCAAAACTGTCTTTCAAGTTTAATGGAGAAATGAAAAACTTCCATGACAAAGAACAACAAAAGAATTTCATGACCACAAAGCCAAGCCTACACAGACCACTAAAAGAGATTCTAGAGAGAGATCAAAATGACCACGACTCCATGAATGAGAACTGAAAGAACCAACCAAATAAGGCAAACAAACACAAGAGAAAAAGAGGTATACAACAGCAGTCTCTCCATTATTCTTTTTTATAGAGCAGAAAAATATTTCCATCAGCATACTCTACAAATGGACTTCCCCTGCACCATATGGGTCATGATTCTGTCCGGGTCTACAGGGTAGATATCAAGGAAATAGCAGTAGCTCAGTCCCACAAGTGACACCTGGCCCCCAGTAAGCATCATGGACACTGTCCATGTCCACCACATACTAGAACTTTGTGTGAAAGCCTATCCCCAGACTGTTAGAAGTACTGGTCATATATTTGCCATTCCAGTATTTTTGTTACATTTTATCATTAGTAATTTTTTACTATCATGAAAACTTTTTCTTAGTTGATATTATGTATATATTAACCTAATCAAATACTGTGTGAGTACTCTGAATTGATAATAGATTCATACATATGATATACTACATTCTGGGCTGGTAGTTGGACTCACAATTTAATTTTAAGTTTTGAATATTATTTTGAAATATTTAATT